AAATAGAAATAGAAATAGAAATAGAAATAGAAATAGAAATAGAAATAGAAATAGAAATTAATAGAATAGGAATAGGAATAGGAATAGGAATAGGAATAGGAATAGGACAGAACAGAACAGAACAGAACAGAACAGAACAGAACAGAATAGAATAGAACAGAATAGAATAGGAGGCAGGAAGTGCTAGATTCTTAATAGTTGGGGAGCATTTTGCCCGTGTTCCTAATGGATAATCCATCTCTCACCCTATTACCTTAAATATGAACATTGAGACTTAGCTGTCCTATCCAATCATACGTGCACCACTTTCCAGCATGCTTCACCATCAAAGGTTCTTAAGCGCCCACCTAACCTTATGGCTAGTTCATGGTCTTACAGTGTTGTGGCTAAAGCCACAATCGAAGGAAGAAAGAGAGAGAGAAAGAGAACACATTTTACTTTGATGTTTTTCCACAGCTCATGAACGTGGAGTGTTAACTGAGCTGCAAGAAAACTGGCAAATGTATTATGACTTCGGAAGCAGAGGTACCCTCGCTTCCTCCTCCTTTGTTAGGCTCAATGATGTTTGATTCTTCCGGCATTAAAGTGACTTTCTCCATTATGGGATTTATTCCTGTGTATTTACAAGAACACGTCAAATGACTCTCGCCACGGGGAACTGTTGCTCTTTCATTATATCAGTATTGTGCGTGCACACTGAGACACACATATGCACACACACACACTCCAAGCAAAAACTAAATTCTACATGCAAGCACAAAAGCTTGCATTCTCCCAGGGTGCTTGTTGTCTACTTTTAAGAATAAGTACATCACTGGCCCAAGCAGGTTTTTTTTTAAAAGATTTCCCATGGCCGAGCTGCTGCATTTTTATATCAAAGCCACTTTAAGCAAACAAACAAAAAGGTTTATTTATTGGATTTTTAATTCAAAAGGGCCAAGGCACAGAACAATAAATCAGAAAGTGACTGCTTCAAATCTCATCTCCGTGACACCGTTGTCCCTCTGACACAAGTACAGCACGGGTACAATAATACTAACTTTACAGAATTGTTGCCAAGTCAAATATAAGTGTAGTAAGCACTTTGGAACATTATTAAAACAGATATAAATGCTAAATGAGCATCATCATGACACTAGTCAGAATCAATAAAATTACTCAAGCTGTGCAATGTTTTGGATTCAAGTCTGAAAAATGGTTTCAGAGTGTGTGGGAGCACGAATGGAGCATCTGTCACAACTCATTAAAGCAGTTACATCTGTTTCTAGGCATGGCGCAATTCTGAAAACAGACGCAGCTGCTTTAATAAGTCACTAACAGGTGTGCATTCTTGCTCCGGTATACTCTGAAACAGTCATTTGGAATAAAATCCAAAGCAATGCAAATCTCTATACAT